GTCACAAGCACGTCAAATTCAAAGCGGACGAGAAGCGAAAAGGGGTTGACTCAGTGGAATTATTCCAGGGCATATTCAGCTTATGATTGAAATTTTTTGTATATTGAAGACATCTATGATGGTATATTAGTGTCTAACTCATGTTTTTTATCTCTTCATTCAATTTTGATAACAGATTTAGAATCAGCGTCTAAAATTATACTTTGTGTGAAGTTTTTATATGGAACGGATGCATAGAGCCAAGTTCAACGTATTTAGCTTTTATATTTCGATACTAAGAAAACTGGATTTTGAGTCTTTTCATGAATAAAGTGTTACATTCTAAAAAAATTATGTCGCATTATGTGTGGATATGTTTCAAAAAATTGATGTGTCGTAGAGTCTAGCTGAAAAATGTGTCATAAAATTTTCTCGACATATTTTTCAGCTAGACTCTACGACACATTAATTTTTTCAGACACATCCACACATAATGCGACATAATATTTTTTAGAGTGTGGAAATAAACATTGCCACAAGATCCAACATGATCAATAATTTATGTTTCATCCGTTTCTGATCTTTTCAAAAGGCCTGAAGTTTCTAGGAAATGTGATGCCATGCCTAAATGATGAAAAATGAGGAAGTCGGAGAGTTCCCATTTTAAAGTGGACACTCTGTACTATCTCCTCATGAGAAAAAATCAACAGATATTTATTTCAACTTTTTAAGCTGTGACTCGATTTTTCAAAGATCTCCTAAAAAACCTTAATGAAAAACGACTTTTGGAGGTTTGGTTTGTTTATGAAAAAATGTTCCCAAATCTTCTATTTCGAATACCGAAAACCACAAGCCTGTATCTATCTTTGTTCAAAAGTTATTCAAAAAGTTTGCGATGATCTCGCGTTCTGTAAAGAATAATAACAACCGATAATCTCTATATTTCTCTGAAAACTTGACCGCTTACTGCTATCTGTTTCAAAATTTAGCAAATAATTTTCGTAACATTTCAAATGAACTAAGTATCTCTCTGAAGCAGACGTAGCACATAATATGTCATATTCTTGATTACAAACCCTACAAGATGTATTTCACTCAATAGCTTTGCGACGAAGATGAAGACTTAAGGGTAAGAATGACTGAAGATTTCATGACGATGGATCAACGTTACAGATTCAAATTCTGTCATTAATACAACAATTTTTATTTTGAACTCTGTATACAGAGCATGACACGTTATTTTTTGTTACATCAGAAATTTGGAACATTTTTCTATCGAACAAGAAAAAAATGAGCTCATTTCGCCTAGACACAGCGAAGTTATAGTCATTTTTTTTTTCCGTTAGTAACTTTTGAAATATCCTGTTGTATTCGAAATATGTATAATTCATTCGCTTTAAAATAGAGGCGAGAATGTGGCTTTAAGTTCAATCTGTTTCTTTTCTTTCCAGATCAATATGCTATTGCAAAAAGAAGCGCTGTCATATCTTGCGAAGTTGTAATAATACGACTCAACGGAACTGATAAACAACTGAGCATATTCGATCATTTTTTTGAAACACGGAAGTTTTGACAATTTTTTGTCATTCAGTCTTTCCATATTTATTCTTCTGATCATTCATTTCTTTTTATTTTGTACGTTTTATAAATAATCATTAACACTGGACGATTGTGTATGTTTATTTATTGATTTTTATACGACTAAATTAAATACTCCTACTAATCTACCAGAAAGAACAAGTTCACGTTCATCGTAATTCATGAGTGAATAAAACTTTGTATAAATGTGCGAAATAATGAATTTGTCTAGTCACAACGCTCCTTTTATGGCCATAAGTATTTCAAGCAATTTAACATATTAATGTGATTCATTGTAACTAAAGCATACTCTATCAAACGAAAATAAAAGAGCTATTGATTTATTTTTATTTTTAAAGTTTTTCTTTGAGTATGTCACATTCTTTACTACTACTCTTAAATTTGCTTATTGATTACTGCTTGCAATCTTGGCTACTAAAAAATCCAGACCCTAGAGGACTAAGTCACCGAATGGCATTAGTAAATTTTCTACAAACAATTCCGTCGTATAAAATAAATATTTCTGAGTAAAATGAGACATTTCCGAGCTATCCACAGCATTTTTTCACGAAACTACATTTACAAAACGCCTCAAACTTTCAAAACTAGCAAACTTAACATAAAAACCCAAAAAAATACCTTTGAGACTTTGATATCCTATAAAAAACTGAATAAATATAATTTAGAAGACAAAGTTTATGGTTTATTGAGAAAGCATTTTAATCATCAAGTGAAACGTTTGATGTTGTTCAATCATTTTTAAATGTTCCATTTTGTATACTAAATCATTTTTTTAGTCTGCTTTGTCGATACTCTGGGTTGTGCTAATATTTTTTTGTGTTTCATCATTCACAGATGTTTTGTTAATTATGGTAATAGTGATGTTTCAATACAATTTGGCTAAAATGCAGTTCGTCATTTGTATCACTGTTATTATTAATGAGATTAGTTTTAGAATTAATATTAATAACTAAAATGATGATGATTGAGCAACTAGAAAATTTACGCTCATTAGAACACAGCAAACACCAGCGAATAGAATGTAAAACATTGCGATAAATGATTCTTTATGTTTTTAAAGAGTAGTTTAAAAACATAAAAAATCATGTCTAGTTTCTGAAACGGAAAAAAGATTTTTTTTTCTAATGTATTTTGATGTCTTTTTTACCACTCAGCAATCAGAAAATTGAAGTTAACGGAAAAAGGGTTTTCGTATATATCGCTGAATATCATTCAACTAATTGTGACATGCCATTATATTTCCTTCCATTTTTCTATCACATTCTCATCATTTATGGTGAAAGTTTGACACATGTTTCGACATTTTGTATTGAATCTCACATTTTCTAGTCTTAGAATCTTGTCGTATACGATAGATGATCTACACATCTCTTTCTTTCTTTTAAAAATGGATAAATATCTATGTTCTATTGCCGAACCTCCATTAAGATCTTCATAGAATTAGTTTCTTTTACAGATTATTCATTTATACTAAAATTCATAGGGCGAGTAAGACTATTCAGCCAAGAGAATTAGAGAGATTGTTAAGAAAAAATTTTTAAATGAAAAAAAGCAATTTGGATAATTAACACAGAATAGTACGTTCTTACTTCATGAAATATCCGAACAAAGTGAAATTTCATGAACATTCAGATTTTTAATATGGTAGGGTAGGGTAATAATACACTTGTTACATGTATATGACAATAGTCTTATTTTAGATAAAGATAGCTAATGTCAAGAAATTTAAACACGCTAAATCTTCAATTACATGATAGTTTGAAAGACAAGAGATAGGAAATAGCTGAAGAGTGGACTGTTGCAAAACTTGTTAGATTTAGTAAAAGAGTTTATCGATTGTTGCCAAATCATTGTTATTTGAGTCTATAGAATTTTTAGATTATTTTATATAAATTTTGTCATTGTGAACAGAAGTCTATATACGTGCTTATATTTTATATTTGGAATGAGACAGAAAAATAAAATGTAAATAAACTTCCACAACAACTCATATACGAATAATAAGATCAACAAAAATGTTTAAATATCGCCTAAAAACAAAAGAAAATTTGATTGATATATTAACATTAAAAATGACAAGTTCAAGAAAGAAATGAGAGAAAAGAACAGATCAAATAACATAAAAAACGAACAACATTAGTAAAAGAAACTAAAGTCACTATTACACATTAATAATAAAGAGAATATGATACTTTAACTCTTCGTTAGTTTAGTTTTAGAAATTTTAATGACAGGTATAACGAGATAGTACTGAATGTCGATCAGAAGTTTAATTTAAAATTATACGGTTATTTTAATCAATAACAGAGTCTGCATTTCATAAGATGAACTGGAGAAGGCGTCGTTCGATACAAAATAATGATGCTAAAATTTTTTGGGATACTGAAGGAGTTATTTAGATATTATAAAAAACAATGCTCATATTTCTTCATCATACGAAGAGCTAAGAAGGAATCATGACTGAACTAACGAAGGAACCTTTCGAAGTGGTTAAATGCTTTTTGCTCGGAATCTAGTGGGTTATAGGTTATTGACCATGCTGATTACGAATATAACCATGGGGTTGCCCTTAGCCCTTCGAAGACCTGGTATTCTAGAAAACTAGTTTTTCAGAAACTCTAAAATATAATCCGAACCTTTTTTCATGAGGCATGATTGTAGCCCGCGCATTTTTGATTTAAATGAGACATCTCCCAGCTTTATACGATCTTTCTTTGCAAAGTTATAGAATTTACAAGAAAAGCCCTAAATTAATTTCTTCTTATTGCTATAGCTTTGAGCTGACTATGAACATTTAGGGCTTTTCTTGTAAATTCTATAACTTTGCAAAGAAAGATCGTATAAAACTGGGAGATGTCTCATTTCAATCAAAAGTGTGCAGGCTACAATCATACCTCATTAAGAAAAGTTCGAGTTATATTTTAGAGTTTCTAAAAAACTGGTTTTCTAGAATACCAGGTCTTCGAAGGGCTAAGGGCAACCCCCATGGTCATATTCGTAATCAGCATGGTCGATAACCTATAACCCACTAGATTCCGAGCAAAAATGACCTCGAAAGGTTCCCTCGTAAGTTTTACCTTCGCTCATGAAAAATAACAAACAATGCAATGTTTCAACTTTTACAGATAAAAACAAAATCTTTCGCACAAACTGGCGGACTGACCTTCAAAACTTTTACTTATTTAGGTATACCTAACAAAAAAAAAATTAAAATATAAAGTATCGTAAAAGCAAATAAATTATAGCATATAGACACAGAAAAAAGATCAAATGATATTGTCGAGTGAAGAAAACCATTACATGAGAACGATAAATAAATAAACTTTACAAAAGAAAACAAAAAAAATAAACTCTTGAACCAAAATATATATTGCAGATCAAAAAGAGAGAGAGAGTGAGACATATATAATTGTGTTTATTTTTCAACAACTTCGTTCAGCCTCTACTGTTCCTTTTCCTCCAATCGCGTCTGGGTTCTGTAATGGATCCAAATCAGCAAATAAATTAAACCAGCTAGATTTATCTTGTTTTATATTTTGTTTTAGTGGTTTAACGGGTTGCTGAGATGATGCTTTGCCGTTCTCATTTGGATTGCCATGTGATAGTTGCTGTGGTGCACCCAACTGTAACGAATTTTCGACTTTACTTGAGAGTATTAGTTCATTCAATATATGAGATGGTAAAAAGTTTGATGAATCATCGTTTAACATATTCGAAGAAGCGACTAAAAAACAGAGCAAAAACAAATTCGTTGATTGATTCTCTATTGCTCTTATGTTATTAAAACTTACAAGAAGACGATGATAGTGGAGATTGCGTTGTAGTGGCACCACCAAATGCCGCATTCCAATGAGCATCAAAACTACTTGATGCTCCCATTCCACCAGTCGTGTTGTTACCATTATATTCTGTACTCGATAGAAATTCACTAAATAACTTATCATCATTAATATGAATTAATTCATTGATGTTATCGTTACTATCGGATGTCGTTGGTTTTGTTTGATCATTCGTTTTTGGCGTAGGTGGTTGAATTGTTGTTAATTTTTCTAATTCTAATAACTGATCATCAAATTTGGCATCTGAATCATTCAAAATATCGATCAGTGATGACACATCATTAGTTGCAGAAGACATCATTGAAGAGGTAACTAAAAGAACAAAATATAAATGGTTAATCTACAGTTGAGCGATCTTATTTTTCAAATTTTGTATCCACCTGATTGTTGTTGTTTAGAATCTGTTGAGATATCAATTAATGAAGAATTTTGTTCTGGAATTTCCTCATTCTCTTTCGTTTCTTTGGCTGTTATTTTCTCTCCAATAAAACTACTTGTGTTCAATTCGGCCAATAATCTATTAGGTTCTTGTAAATCTTTGATAACTGTGAATTCATAATACTGATAACCTTTAAATGTTTCAGCTATGGCAGACATGGTCTTAGAGGTTTTTTCCCAAAACAATAACAATGCTGTTTGATACGTGGCCAACACATGTGAATACATGTTACATCGAGAAGCAGTTAATAAGTCAATTTTTTGTATAACATCACCTTTCAGTTTATCATAACGATATTTTGTCTGCTTTACTTGTGATTGAACACGACGAAATTTTTCTAAAATAGAAACATATTGTTTATATGATCAAAATTAGTTATTTAATTACAATTACTTACCCAATTCTTTATCAGGATCCAATTGTTGTGAAGCATCTTTTAACCATAACAAATTGCCTCGGTAATCCGTTCGTGCCTTTTCCATTTTTTTCACGGTTGCACATGTATCTGTAACAGCTCGATTTCGAAATGTTTCAATTTCATTTGTTAAACGTACAAGAGGTTGTCTCAAAGACAAACGTTGTTGTGCTGTATAGGCTAGAAGTTTTGATACACTTGACATCATTTTTCCGGCACGTGTTTTATCTGTTTGTGAACAATCTTTGAGAAATCGTGCACAATCTGTCTCTTCATGAGACAGTTGGATAACGGTAAATTGATACCGTTCCATAATACGTATCAAATCATAACATGAACGTTTAACAGTTAGCAATAGCTCTAACTTTGCATCAACATCAGAATCAGATGCAATGATACATTCATCTTCTTCGCGGCCAAGTTTTTTGATAACGATCTGTTTTGTTTTCCAATATCTTTGACGCAATTTACCTAACGTTGATTTATCTTGATGTTCAGCAAATTTATCAAACGGAACACTATTGCCACCACTATACATTCTTTGATCTATATAATAAAAGAAAAATTATTTTAATTCAAAAAATCGGTTCAAGGATTATTAAGAGCATCCGTTAGCAGAAAAATAGATCAAACTTGGTACAGTGATTCACTCTTAAACATACAGCAAGCAGAAGATGGAAATAAGATTTTTGGATTAAAATCAATCGCAATTCTGATTTACATCTAATAATTCCAACATTTCAAACGGAAAATTTCCTGAATATGTTAAGTTCTTTGTCATTAGATCTTTGAGAAATGCAAATATTATTCTATACGATCTACATATGTCTATTTATAACCGGAAATGAATATGACCATACTTCTAAGCAGTGGAAAGCTAAGCGATGAAATTCAATAGCACACTATTCCAGAAGGAACTATATAATACAAAAATTTTTCGTTAGACTGGACATTTTGTCAAAAATTCAATTCTAGAAAACTACAGTTTAAATTCAACAAAAGTTGAGCTCAAAGTCAACTAAACTGAATAGAGCAGTTGTTCAATAACTGAAGTTTACATTGAACACTAATACTATGTGAGTTAAAGAAGCTTAACTAATTTGATAAAAGTGATAAATGCAGTATGAATGTCAAATAAACAAGTAAACAAACAAACAAACTAGTGTAGACGTTTAACACTTTAAGAAGTTACTTGCCAATAACAGTTGCTAAAAATGGCAGCCGATAGTAATATATTTTCTTTTCTCTCTCTTTTCGTTGAATAAAAATTTAACCAATCTACATTATTTCAGACACTTACATCTATATCATAGCGATATCATTCAAAAGTGTCGTTGATTTGTTACTATACTTTTTCGACACCACGTCATATAATAGCAGAGAGTAATATAGTTATTCCAGTAATATTTAGTTTCCAGTAAAGATAATCTAGCACCGCTTTCTAACGATGAGTAAAGTTAATCTTGTAGGGAAAATATAAGATTTCATCTTAAATTTTGATGATGCTTTGTAGTAAACTAGCTAGAAAAGTACTTTTATTTATTTTGTCCTTTTTTCTAGAGAAGAGCAGAGACAAAATACATCGCCTCAATAGTAATTTTGTAAAATTACAACAAAGTGGTGTTAGTTTATCTTGATAATCATTTCAAGAATCCTCTACAGTGAGAGTCTGCCTGAGCGAAAAATAAGCAATATGATTTAAAGTACCATAGTCTTGTTATTATTGGTTTCCAATTAAATTAGAATGAATCTGGTGTATCAAACAATCGCTTTAATTTTTATCGGATGTTGTTCAAATGTCATATTTTTAGAACTAATTATTAGGTAAGACTTGACTCGATATGATTAATGGCAAAGCTCTTTTAAACACTTTTTTATTGTGTTCTTAGACCCTATCCAGGAAGTGGTAATATAATAACATTTGCACAATTTTTATTTATTGCTATCGAAGGTTTTATTAATTATTCGAAATTTGGAAGAGTTCAACCACAGATACCACTTAAGTACGCACTCTTATGACTAGTATGATTTTGAATTATTTTAGGAATGAAACTCACCTAAAAATTTGTTTTTCTTTGAAAAATGTCTTGAGGATTATGCTAACCGCTCATTTCATGCTCTTATCCTAAATTATTATCTTGAAGTGGTTTAGAAGAGAAAAAATGGTAGAATTTTTTGTCAGGAATCGATAGCCGGTCATAAGTGACTTGTAACTTATCACTCAAGAACAGCATTTATGTTAACACAAGGTAGTTCATCAACTATTTATATATAATAAGTAAATCGGTTTGTATTTATAGTTAAGACAGATAGCTGTCATCTGTATGATACAAGATATTTTTCCATTGATCCATTAATTACTAACATTGACTATTTTTTATCTATTTAGGCATTACTTTGTAATGGTCACCATGTTTTTTCTTGTTAGTGTTATCAATAATTATGCTTTAAATTTTGATATAGCTATGCCATTACATATGATATTTCGATCGGTACAGTACAGAGAAACGATTATTTTTAACATCTTTAAACATATTAAAAATCTATTTCTCTAGTTTTTAGGGTTCACTCATTGCCAACCTTATACTTGGAATGTTTCTTCTTGGAAAAAGGTATGTACTGAATGTCTGTAATTACATTGTTTCATCGAGTTTTACTTATTTGCAGATATTCAGCACGTCAAATAAGTGCTGTCCTATTGATAACATTTGGCATTATTTTATGCACGGTAGCATCAAGTCAATCATTACCTAAAAACAAAACAAAAGTAGAGGAAAATGAACATGAACAACCAGTACTATTAGAATATTTTAAATGGTTTATTGGTAAGACTTTATTTCATCTAAGAACAATATCTCATTTTTTTTTTGCCTACTACGTTTATTCTAAAAAATGTATTTCGCTTGTTTTAAAATCAATACTCTGATAATATTTGTAGTTCGAATGAAATAGTAGCCAGTTAGGATTAGCGTCGCTTTTTTATATTAAACCTCAAGATAGATGACCAATCATTGTTTCTATTTAGGAATTGGAATGCTTGTGTTCGCTCTGATCGTGTCGGCATTAATGGGTATTTATCAAGAAAAATTATATAGAGATTTCGGAAAATATCCCGATGAAGCATTATATTATTCTGTTAGTAAAATAGTGAATAAACGTAAATAGAAGAAGAATTTATCATATTTGTTTTAGTTTATTTAGCATCTTTTACCACTGCCGGCATTCATGCTTTTTACTTCAAATATTTGGCAACATGTGCAATTATTCAATAAGTCAAGTAAGAATGTACTCTGTCATTTAGCTTGTATATTGATCAGTGGAACTAAATTGATGTTAAAAAGTAATCTATATGTGTTGATTAGCTTAAATGCCCTTTGATTATTGAAACGAAGTATTCAACTAAAACACCAATAGTAGGACTTTTTAGTAGTAAAACCAGGCATGCACTGATTAAAAACCGTCATTTTTTATTTTTTTTCATAATTATATTCTGTGAAAAGTATGGCATATTAAACGTTTTTAATAACTGAGTTTTGTAAAGGAAACATTTCTCTGTAAAATGAGCTGTGGGAACTCTTTCGGTCTTTTCTCTTTTTGTTGCAATTGGCTTTCTACGCGAAGAGCTCCATTTGTTGATTTTGGTTATGCTCTTCGCGTAGAAAGCCAATTGCAACAAAAAGTGAAAAGACCGAAAGAGCTCATTTTGCAGAGAAATGTTTACTCTACGAAACTCAGTTATTAAAAACATTTAATATGCCATACTTTTCACAGAATATATTTGCGAAAAAAAATAAAAAATATCGGTTTATTAATCGGTGTATGTCTGTACAAAACACTCTTTCTAATTCACATTAAGAGAGTATGCTAAATTTCTTACTGTGTTTTTTTTTTTGTTCTGTTGTAGCTTGGTTCCCGTTACCGTATTTTACACATATTGGTTTACCTATTATGTGGCTTTACTTAATGTGTAATATGTGTACACAATATTTGTGTATACGATCTGTATTTATCTTAACAACTGAATGTTCATCGTTAGTTGTTACACTCGTTATTACATTACGAAAATTTATTAGTCTTGTTTTTTCAATTATTTATTTTCAAAATGAGTTTACAATCTATCATTGGTTGGGTACAATAGCTGTTTTTTTAGGCACATTTTTGTTTAGTAATGTACACGAAGAAATTCTTAATCGATTACATTTGACGACAAAAAAGAAAGACAATCATTCTCATATCGAATAGAAATATAATGAACAAAGGGGATGTCTAGTCACAAATTATCCGACACTCTTTTATATCATTTGAAGCAATGATATAGAAAATAATAACTAACTCTTTAATAGAAGACAGTATTAGTGACTTATTTCTCTATTTATACCATATTTTCATATTTTTGTAGATTTTCTATTCATCTCTCCATTTATTCTTTATATTCATGAACACTCCAAGATTTTGGACGTAGCATCTTTTTACAAAACTCTTCTACGGTAATTCGTACTATAACAGAGGAGTGTGGTGAAAGAGAAAGTAATTAGACAACAGAGCTGTATTTTAGAATCATCTGCCTCCGCTTTCGATGTTTAAATACTCTAAAAGTGATGCAGCAGAAATGTGTACGGGATCTTAAGTCATCTTATATTCTCATATTTAGCTCCATTCGACGTTGATCTGACGTAATTTTCTTTCTTTCACCGAGTAAAGTGCTATATATATGTACATCTTTTCTCATAAATTTACAGAATCAGAGAGGAAATTAACATAGAAGCATTCGCATCAAGTGTGACTCCTTTTTTTTTATCTGTTTTTATCAATTGCTGGATCAGAGTACCAATTGTTTTTCTTTAATCAATAATACGACTAATAATTTAAATGTCAACATTTTTTTGTATTTTTGCAGCAAATATTTTTCTTTATTTGTTTTTCTTACACAATTGACATAAATTAGTCTCATGTGACAAATGGTTTATGAATTTTTCATTAAATGACCATATGACAAATACATAGAGTTAAAAGAAAAAGCTCTCGTTTTCCGAAAAATCAATTTATTTATGATTTGTTTGGTGAATATTTTGACTTACATATTGTTTTGTTTGTATTTCAGATCTGTATTTTGTATCGTTTAAACATCAGAAATGGTAGAATTTCAAGCTTTGCATCAAATCGTTCCTCTTTACATATTATTGCACTTTTATTTAGACACCAAGCAATTCTATTGACAGTGGACATGAAGAACTAAATGTAACTGTTTTTTTATTTCCCTTACCAGTTTAATCTCTAATTAAATCTAATTAAATTTTTTTTCTTTCTCTTTAGCACGATACTCAGTTAGATTATTATGGAACAAAGTTAGCTACATGTTCATCGGATAAAAGCATTCGTATTTTTGATGTTATCAGTCGTCAACAAAAATTAATTGCAGATTTAAAAGGATAACAATTTGGTATGAATAACATGTCTCATAAAGAACGAGTCACTTTGTATTTTACGTATAGCCCTGTCAGGATTTATCAGTAAAAACTTTTACTAAAATAACCGACGTAAAATTCCTTACAAAAACATACTAAATGCTTCATTGGAAAATGTGAAAATGGGACGTTTTTACGAAAAATACTGAAACTCTCTAAAATGAGCAACCTTCTAAATAAAAGACGGTTTTTTCGGTTAAATTTGTTTACTTGTTCAGACATAGAAAGCTCTAAATAGTCATCTGATAGCCTTTGAAAGACTCTATTTTTTTTACTGGACTTTTCTCATCTGGTTACATAAAAATTGTTTTTTTTTGATTTACCAAAAAAACCACTACTTGTAGAAAGCAATTTTGCATCATTGCGTAAAATCCTCATAACTCGTTCATAGAGAAACAACGTGCTTATTATTATGTCCAAATACGAAAAACTCCAAAACTTTTTTTCTTCTAATGTGCTGAATGAAAAGATCAAAATTGTGTTGTTTTCAGACGATTTCAATGAAGTTGCCCTTTTTGTCCTAAAATTAGATATAGAAATTTAGAAGAACTTTGTTATACATGAGAAGAAAGAGCACACTTGATAATGTCAGTGGATGTTGTCTGATGCAAATGATTTCTGCATTTAATAATAAAATTTCAGTTAGCTGAGAAATACTTTAGAAAGTTGCCTGTTTTAGTGCCCTTCAGTATTTTTCGTATAGAGCCCCACTTTCACATTTTGCCATGATCAGTCAATATGTTTTTGTAAAGAATTTTACGCCAATTTCTTTTTAGTAAAAAAAAGTTGTTACTGGTAAATCCGGACAGAGATATAAGTAAAATACAAAGGGACTCATTTTTTATGATACACCTATTAATATTACTAGAAAAAAATGTTTTATTCATTTTCAGCCACGAGGGACCGGTGTGGCAATTGTCTTGATCTCATCCAATGTACGGTAGGTTATTAGCATCATGTTTCTTCGATAAAGAAGTCATTATTTGAAAAGAAATATCTTCGTCAACATTATCCACACGTGATTTGTCGAGTGGTGGTTCACATTTTCAACTAATACATGAATATGATAAACATACATCATCTATGAATACCGTTGTTTGGGCACTCAATGGATACGGCTTAATGTTAGCATGTGGAAGTTCAGATGGATCGATCTCTATAATTACATCGAGTGGTACGTTTTATATCGCGTTTGATGCCTGATTTTGTGAAAATTAAATTAGAATTGCAACGTTGGTCTTTTTTTTTTAATCCCCATCTTTTTAGGAACAAATAGACAGAGGCCACTTATGTGATCTGATATCTTTTATTATTAAAAATATATAACTTACTAATATGATAGTTTTTGAAGACATGTAGAAGTCAATATATTACATTAAAGAGCAAAATATGGACATGTAGAAAAACTCAGTGAGCTAAGATGACGCTAATGTATATTTTATTAGTCTTGTTAATGTTTTTAGTCCCTTAGGAGTATTATACTATACAAGGTTCTCTGTTTTTAGGTGATGGAAAATGGACGGCAAAAAAACTTCCTGATTATCATTCGGTAAGAACTAATATCAACTAAAGCTTTAGGCATTTGAGAGAACTGAGAATCATTAGATCCTAATTCTAATCGTTTCTTCATATATCTTGTATTATCTATATTTTTTTAGCCGAAAGTGAATGTGTTAAACTGGCCTGCATCTATTAGTCCATGAATATCGGTCACATCCGCCATGAAGTGAACAACTCCTATCACAGCAAATAGTGAATGTATTAAACGTTTTGTATCTGATGGATGTGATATTCTTGTGTGAATACGGATGTAAATGTTTTGTACAAAATTATCTTATTGTATTATTAATCTTTCTTTTTCTTTGTTCGTTTAGAGAACAAGAAGATTCTTGGATTGAAGAATCTCATTTAAACCAATATACAGATTGGGTTCGAGATGTAGGTTGAGCACCAACATTTAGATTTTTTAGGGAAAAAATAGCAATCTGTTCACAATTACAATTCTTTCCACTATGACAGTTGAACAATACGGACTAAATTCTTGAATATTTGTTTTTTTCATTATAAAATGGTCTTGTCTACATCTGGATGCATGACGTTCGTACTGAATGAATCAACATGGGAATGTATTCAAATTGGAACACGTTTTGATAATGTTCTATGGAAACACCCACAACATTATTGATCTCTTAGAGAGTAGATTGTCTCCGTTTTGTTATCTTTTTTTATCTATATATTACCATTATCATTTTACTCTCTTAATTCTTTGTGTTAATAATTAGTCAAATTCAATAAAAAAAAATATAAGTCATGCTTTTTCTTTTGTTTTTGGATGTGATAGTCTTGTTTGTAATATAGGTCTACTAAAATATTAACTTTTTTTTTAATTCTCATTTTTAGATTTATTTGGAAATCATTTGTTGCCTTTTCAAAATCTTCTAAGCATACAAATCATGAGTCAAATCAGTCAGGTTGTTGATATAGTGAAAAAATTAAACGAGGAATATCAAACAAGTACACCAAAAAAATTAAAACTGATTGATGCCTATTTATTCTATGTACTGTTAACCGGTGTTGTACAATTTGGTTATTGTCTACTCGTGGGTACATTTCCATTTAATTCGTTTTTATCGGGATTCATTTCCACTGTTGGATGTTTTATATTGGCTGGTAAATAAATAGAATATCTTTTAAATTTTATCTAGATAAACTCGACTACTTGTTTCTTTGTTCTAGCAAGTTTACGTATTCAATTGAATAAAGCAAATCAATCAACGTTTAATGTTTCACCTGAACGTGCATTTGCCGATTTTGTATTTGCACATGTTATTCTACACTTGGTTGTTATCAATTTTATAGGCTAAGAACAAAATGTCTGAACACATAGAATATATACAATTAGGGAATGATAAGTGATTTCTTTTATTTAAGAATAAGGAAAAAATTTGTTTTTTTATTGTTGATTTTTGTTTTTGAGAAACTGTTGTTCTAGTTAGACTATCGTATGCTGACCATGTGTTGCCTTTTATGTTTAAAATAAATATAGCAATAACCATTGATTCTTGACCAATTTAATGAAGAAATAGAATGAGAAACAAAATGATAGGATGTATTTTCTTATGTTAAAAAACTTAATTTAAATCGCGATTATTTCAGATTTTTCATAAATTGTTTAGTCATTCTATACGACTATCAAATATTGAAAGATCTAAGGCATAACCTCACTTAGTTGAAGAATAAAAGTGGGTTCGATGATAGAATAGTAAATTGTTAATTAATATTTTCGGAACGATGCTACACGAATATTCTCGTTTATTTTCATGGATAAATGGTGCAGTGTTCTGTTCAAAATAGGAGACTAGCACGGCCTTCATTTGCAGTTGTACAGATGTGCCAATGGGGTTTCTAAAACCATCAGCACTAGTCTTCAGTATCATGCGCAATCTCAAAAGCACGTAGAAAACAGATTATCCAGAAGGTGGCGCGTACAACGACGACGTTCTTTTAAGGAAACAAAAGTTTTAATTAAAGCTCGTACGAAAATAGTTGATTTTAGGCTATTTTCACCTAAAATTAAAACCTGTGATTCACTCAAAATCCATTCAAATCACTTAACGATTTCAATACGAACTCTAACACAGAGCTGTTGATCGCCGCAAATTATGAAAGATTCTAACTGATTTTATTTTTTCTATCGATTAAAAACAAAAAATTTTATTACCTTTGTTATTCATGTGTATCCAGTCAAATTAAACATATTCTGTCTATAAATTAACATTATAAAATATATCTTATGACGTTTTGAGATTAGCTATGAGATTTTGATTCTAGCTCACAATAATTTTATTTTCATATAAGTTTTCACTGAAATCGATATTAGTAGCTTTTTGAAGAATAAGAAATAAAATTTTTAATTTATTTAAAACATTTTACTAAAATACTACACAAAAATGTCAAAACAATGGTGAATAAGGTGTCTGTTGTTGAAGCACAACAACACCTTTCAAATGTTCAATTTGTCTCAATAAATCATCTTGTATTTGCTTTGGACGTGTGTTTCGTGTGCGTGTACGACGATTGTTGAACCAAGTTGATACCTTTTGTAATGAAACACCGCATTGTTCCGCTAATTCTAATTTTTCATCTTTCGTTGGATATGGATGATCAACATGAGAATCGAACCAATCATTTAATATATCCACCGCATCATCCGGTAATCGACCTTTCAAATTAGATGATAATCGTCGAACAGTAATAGAGGATTCATCGACATTCTAAACAAGCATCAAGTTAACATACACACTCACATATTGGTTATAGATCCCTTACTGATGATGCTGGTGGATCCTTCACGGATGATGAGCTTGTTCGATCTTGTCTTTGGTTTCGTCGTTGAGAAGAGGTCTAGAATATCAAAAATACTTAATAATAGGAGGCTTTCACTCGGAGTGGCTCAAAACTACTTTTACAAGTGCCTGATAACACGTACAAAACATACATAATGCAATTCTAACAAAAAATTGATATTTAACGGAAAAGAACGCTTACCTGCTGGTGATTAGATGTTAGATGGAGATCCGACGTCGTTCTCAAACCCTCTTCATTACATACCTGTACTGATGTAAGATTAGACGCACACATTTTTGGTTGATTACGTGACAATGATTGTGGTGTGCTGGTGGCTGGCTGAGATAGCACTGATGACTGGTGAGATTGGTTAAAGTACGAATTTTGGTTGAATGGATTCATGTATGAATACGGATACACTGAAGAGAAAAACAGTAGTTCTTAATATATGCTCCTCTACATGCATTGATCAGCATTTATTATTTTTGTGTCTGTTTTTCAATGCAGAGAAATCAAACACCTACCTGAATTTGTGATTGGGCTCGGATACATCATATTGTTGTCATTAGAAAAGAAACATGATTGAGAATGATTTAATGGTGAATATGATAAATTGGGATACGAATAACTTGGACTCTGATAACCAGAATCGACGGACAATGAGGTTGGAGCGGAGAAGGAGTAAGAACAGTTATTGTTGTTGAACGATGAAAATGGATTCATGATGAATGAATAGTTTGAAAGTTTGAGTTGTGAAGTAAATGAAGGTGATAGTTGATTTATATATTTCGAAACAAGTGTACCTTTTTTCATCGGCTTGAAAATTAAATCCATTCTTTTTACTAATTTGATTGAAAAATAATGCTGAATGATTTGCTTAGAAGTTATATATAGAGAGTTTATAAAAACTCATCAGTCTTCCTTTTCTATGTGATTATCAGTTATACGCAGCGAAAAAAGCTCGCCTGTTGTGTCAGGATATACGTGCATTGAAAACCGATTCCAAAAAGTTTACTTTAAGAGGCATAATGAATACCATACCAAATTTTGAGTACTGGTGTGTCAAAAAAAATGTCAAAAAAATGTTGAACTTATCAATGCATCCGTTGAACTCGGCTAACTAATGATGAGATATAGACATGAATAACATCTTGAGCGCGTTGATCAGGAAAATAGCCGCCTTTAAAGGATTATTTGCCAAAAAGTTGTGGTTTTCTAACAAAACTTTCTTTTCT